AGTGGCTGCTCCCGGCCACCGCAGCCTCGACCTGCTGGGCTCCGGCGATCCTTCCGCCTCAGCCTTCCGAGTAGTCGGAATTACAGGCATGTGCTACCACGCCCCGCTGATTTTTTGATTTACTGTAGAGATGAGTTCTCGCTGCCCAGGTGGGTCTCAAACCTGCGGGCTCAGGCAATCCACTCACTTCAGCCTGCCAAAGGCACGGGATTACAGGCTGAGCCACCGAGCCCGGCTAGCAAAGGGCTCTTTAAATAGAAAAGTGAAGGTTACGTCAACAGTCTGAAGGGCAGCAGGCATCCACAGGGAAGAGAAGGGCAAGGGGAGACATCTTTGCAGGATGCTGCAAGATGACTGAAGCTACCCATGGGTGAAATAACTGGGAAACCCTTTACAGATCCAGCTTATAGGGCTTCAGTCATTAGCATTTGGATGTTAAAAGCAATGAATATAAAAAGACAATTCATGGAAAGATACAAATGACCAATAAGCTTTGGAAAAGATATTCAATTTCACTTAATACGAATCAAAACATTAAGATAGTTTTCTCCAATAAGATTGGCAAAACAACAAAATTGCTATCACCCTGTAAAGGGCTCTATCATATGTGATCCAATAATCAAATCAAGGAATTTCAGTTACTGGAATACTCACCTAGGTGCCCAAAGATATTCATTACAATGATCGGAGACAAAGGACAACTTATTACAGTAACAGCGTAGACAGAACATCAGTATTTTTACCAATTCTTCTACTCACAATTTCCAGAGGGAATTTGAAATGGGCCAGGTGAGTGGACATATACAGAGGGTTGTGTTACAGAACAGGAAACCTGAACTTAGGGAACCCAAATCTTTTATACTGGGCAGTAAGCCTGCTGACCTTATCTTTATTATAAAAATAGGAGACTTTATCTTTATTTCACTGCCCAGAAAAAAAAAGAATGAAAACAAAACAAAACACTTACCCTTTGCTCTGAAAGTAGACACTGTATCTCCCAAGCCTATTTGCTATCCAAACATACTTGAAAATATAGTCCTTAACAAAAGCAGTCAGTGTCATTGCTTAAGTGTAATAACATGAGAGACTCATGGAGAATTGTCCCCCAACATTCCATTGCCATTTTCATTTTATGTAAACAGGAAAAAAAATTATAGCTATCAATTAAAATGAGATGTTATTTTACCTAAACCTATTACATTGAAATTTTTGATCCCCTCATCATCAAATAGTATAAAAAGGTATGTATTCTTATGCATATAAGAATATGTATTGATTCTTCATTCAAAAAGTTCATTTTACACAGTAGAAAATGGTTGGTAAGATCATTTTATATAATTAGTATTTTTCACTCCGAAAAATAACAACCAGATTGATTGCTACAATTATTCAAGAAAAAATTAGAACATGAGAACAAGAATTTTAAAGTTTATGTAACTTTAACGATAAACTATCATCTGCCTCATTTTTTTTTTCACTGAAGATTTGTTCTTAAAAAATGATTATATGTCAACATCTCAACAGGAATCTTGTATTCTGTAAACAATGCATACCACCTGTCTAGAGGGAGTTCATTAATAATACATTTTTTGAACTGAACTTCCAACTTTATTTTACTGTTGAAGACACTGAAACCCAGAGATATGAAGTGATTTGAAGGTGGCCAACAACTAGTTAATGTCAGAGCTGCAGCTAAACCCCACAAGCCCTGACTTGGAGCACAAAGCTCTTTCTTCTTATCCAAACCCACATACATGATATGATAGAGCTTTCAAACTGGGGTATGCAGACCCTTCAGGCTATGGCAGCAAGCCAGGGAGGTAAAGCCACAAGGTAAACACAGGGTGTCTTGCTTCAGTGTAAATATTACACAAAGATTTGAGGAGAGTTAGAGGAACCGCTTTATATTTATATTAAAACAAGATTGATTGTAAAGGCGAATGCACATTTTACATGAATTTTTAAAATTTCAGGCTGCAATCTGTGGAGAAAAATGTTTTACCCATGGAGGTAAAAGTTCTCTCTGCTTACTCTGCTGGGTATTTTTCCTTTGTAAAAATTTTATGTCACCAATGTGGGAACGTCTAGGAAGGAGCTTTTACCCAAAGAGTGCTTTCATTAGCCATCCTTGACATTCCATACTTAAATTTGCTTTATTTTAGCCTCCATGATCAGTTAAATTGTAACTTTTTCTTGAAGAAAAAAAATATAAGACCTTATGATAATTGAGCTCTGAGTTCTTTCCGTAAGAATAGAGTTTTTTTTTTACTTTATTCTTCTTAATCAGAATAAGATGAAGATTTAAAAAATAAAAGATAAAAGTATTAAATGTGATTTTAGTAGAAATTAACTGGTGAGTAGTTTACATCGATAAGATGCTCTCTAAGACAATGTTGCATGTGGCTCTAAAATCACATTTGTGTAATGTACAAAATAGAGCAAATATTATGCATTTCCATTTTTTTCATGTAACATATTCATAAATAATATCCCAAATGCTATAACACATATTAAGAGCAAACATGGGCCAATAAATTATTTTATATGCATTCTCAGTGGGCCAATCTTCTCATCTGATTTTTATTCCTGGTATAAAAACTACTTAAACAATAGTTCTCAGATGACTACTCCCTCCACAATAACTTGGAGGACTTTTATCCCCACCCAAATACATCTTAGAACTACTGAAATAATGTGTATTTGATTTTCCCACTGAGACATTTTTTAGTGCTCTGTTCCAACACCAGTAATTTTTAAATACAAGTAGTAGTAGCTTGACATTTTTCAAAAAGCTACATTTGATTTCAAGATTTCAGATTCAAATTCTGAGACAAGAAACCAGCTCATTCAATGCAATCAACATTTGTTAAGCACAGTGTGTTAAGCTCTGGTGGAAGATAGAAATGTCTTAGACAGGATCCTGCCTCCAAAGTTACCCAAGCTAGAGGGAAACAAGACTCATACAAATCAGATCAAAAACTAATCTATGCTAGAGGTTCTAATACAGCTAGGGAAGATGTCAATTTAAAAAAAAAAAATCAAGGTAAGAAAAGATTGGTCAAAGTGCAATGGCTCAGGCCAGTAATCCCAACAATCTGGGAGACTGAGGCCAGAGGATCTCTTGAAGTCAGGAATTCGAGACGATTCTGAACAAAAAAAGAGACACTGTCTCAAAAAAAAAAAAAAAAATTAAAAAGAAAGGCCAAATCATGGTTCAATTTATCCATTTTCTTCCAGAGAAAGGATTTCTCAGCTATTGAACCAATACCACTTGTTCCTGGCCAATAAGGTCAGCAGAGTGTTCCTTCCATTTTTTTCCGTGCACAGGGTGTCTTGGGGAGCCTTAATTCTGCCCCTCCTATCTCCATCCCAGGCCTGGGTCTGCGATGGGGAGGAGGTGCTGGCCTTGGTGCAAGATGTAAGAAGCACCCAAAAACTCAGCAGTCAAAATAAATATCTTAATCCAAGGTTTTTTTAAAAAAGACAAAATGTATGCCAAAAAAAAATCCATGATGGGCAAAACGTTAGCATTCTAAATCAAGACAGAATCAATAGGACTGACTCTCCTTTCTCGCCTAGCTCCACCCGGACTACGAAGGGCTCTGCATCACCCCCAACCTGTACATGAGGCCAGGGATCCCCAGACACATCTAAGTTCAGAAATCAACATTTTCTGATATTCAGATGTCAAATCAATGAAATGACCACTGGGTGAGCGCGGTTCTGGCGCCTGACCCTCTCTCAGTTCCGGGCATAGCTGACTGCCCTGTGTTCTGCGTCCACTGCGCATCACTCTGCGAAGAGGACGCCCGATTGGGCCCGAGATCCAACGCGTGGCGTTGCAGGGCTGCAGTGCAAACGTCACAAAAGTAGGGGTTTGGCTTCACATCTTCCCTAGTTTGGATTGGCTCTTAGTCTTCTGTAACTGTGGGTAACAGAACAGTGAGCCACAGGCCAAGCCGGGAGGATCATTGGTGCGGCTGATCTTTGGTTCCCTGTGTCCTGATGACCTGGGACCCGAATCTCCGACCCCGTGCCTTCCGATGCTCTGGCCTGTCGAGGGTCCCGGAAGCTGCCTTGCTGAGCAGTCGCCAGGTGAGCAGTGCCCGCCCTCCTAGACCCCTATCCTTTCTGGGCCCCTTGACCCTACACCCTGTCCAGCCTGTGGCTGCCCCTGGGGTCCCTAGCAGAGCATAACGGATCCCATCTAGACCCTCCATCTGGGCTAGAAGTGCCTGATCTCCTGGGTGGGGTTTGAGGCTGTCTCTGATCTATACTAGTAGCTTTATATTGACCTATGCCCTCTCAACATCTGCTGCATTATATAGCAATGGTTGGTTTCAAGATTAATTATAAGGTCTTGACTTTTGGAGTCCTTAATCCCAGAAAGTTTAGATGACAGAGATAGATAGATACAGATAGATAGGTAGATGATATCCTTAATATGATGTTCCTCCACACATTGAGAAGGAAAGGTTCTTTGATGAACCATACAAGCAGAGTTGAGAGCAGTTAAAATAGTAATTAAAAGAATATTTGGATGGTGGAAAAAATCTTGGAATTGCCTAGCATAGGAGCTATCAAGGTTTTCTAGAGTTCTCCAACTTGTCTGGAAGACTCAGGGCTGCTATAATTAAATAAGGCTGAGGGGCCATCCTGAATTGAAAGCTACTCACCCTAAATTCTAACCTGTGGTACCTACATGTTGCGTAGGCAGAGGATATTTTTTCTATAGATTTTTAATACAGACCTTAATTTCTAGGATTTAGTAACCCCCCCACATTTTAGACACTTTTCCGTCTGTGTCTAGATCTAAGGCATCAGGCAGTGGTGGAAGCTGCTGCTTTTCTCCTTGTCCTAAAACAGTTCACCTCCCTGCTCTACATTACATTCTTTCTATTTTCCTTTCATGTAACCAGTTGGTTTTGAAATCTGACATTTCCCCCTCTTCAGGCTACTGAAAATTGCCCTCCAAATTCAGTACCTTTCCTGAGTGACACCCTCGACTGCCCAGTGCAACACTGGAGATGTACATTCGAACTTCTCGAAGTCCCCCTCTTGGCTCCCCTTGTTCTTTTGTTCCTCCGACCGACGGCAGAACCATCCCTCCTGTCTCCAATCCAGTGTGTTTCCTTCTTCCTCTCTCTCCATGTAGACCCTTCACAATGATCTTCCTTGGGCCCCCTCTGTCTCCTCCAGGCTGACTCATTCACCAGATCTTCACAGCCACTGATGAGATCTGCATTCACACTTGCAGCTTTCTGGAGGACACCTTGACCTATGTGTTCCACCAGGGCTCAGTCTCAGCATTTCTCAGCTGCATCTGTCTTCCCTTCTAGGCACCTTTCTCATCATCAACTCGTCACATCATCATCCTCGCCTACAACTTCCCTGGTGCTGATTCTCTGCCTCCAGTTACTTGCCAGCTCTCATCAATTCTCTCTAAAAACACCCCATGTCACATCTGCTCACTGCTCATTCCCACTTGCCACCACCCTGGGTCAGGCCATTCGCTCTCTCCTTGGGTCTCCAGAGGCAACCTTGCTGCCTGTCTGCAGTTCTCTACGCTCCAGTCTCCCATACATGTCGCTGCTGGGCATCTTTCTGAAGCCTAGCTTTGTCACATCTTTTTTCTAGTTCAAAAATCCTGCAGTGTCTCCCTGTTGTCCTAGAATTGAACTAATGCTGAATCAGTCAATAGCTAATTAAGCCTGTGCTTTCAGGGTACCAACAAAGCAAGGTCACTGAGAGAGATGGAAGAAAAACTTTTGTTTTTTTTGTTTTTTGGTTTTTTTTTGAGTTGGAGTCTCACTCTGTCACCCAGACTGGAGTGCAGTGGCCGCTCCAGGCCACCGCAG